GTCACGGATATATCCACGAAGGCTTGAGAAGCAATGGGGTGCACACATCCCGACAGAAAAGACAGCACTTTAGAAGAGGGAAAATATGCTAGCCCCAATCCCCTGCCCCAAGGAGCTTACAGAACAAGACCTCACCTCTGCCAAGAATCAAGCACTGCCCAGTTCCGTGGAAATCACCCCCCACAAGCTGCTCCTCCTTTCTGACCCCCCACGGCAGATGTTACACTTGTCGTCAAATGCTACCTCAGGGCACGTTTTCTCACTTAATCCCCGGTGCAAGTTACATCTCCGGTGCAATGCGGCTGAACCCGGGCCTGCTTCTACCCGGTCTGAGCGCCCCTGCAGCTCTTCAAGGCGCGCCTGGCAAGTGGCGAAAGGAATTCTCTCGTCAAGGGCCTGTGCGCCTAACGAGGCTGTATCCTCACTCGCGTGTTTTAGCTTGGCAGGTCTGGGGCTGCTTTCATCCTTTGCTTCAGGTAGCTCTTCTTTAATTAGTAACATTTCTGTGCCGGCACCGGGAACTTTACACCCAGAACGAATGGCCCTCTCTCATTAGAACCACTACTGTCATGATGTATTCAAGCGCAGGAGCAGGATTCGTTTCCTTGTCTGGGGACAGAGAGTCTTACACAGCTATGGGAGGAGGGAGGAGGGAGGTTTTATAATGAGTGACTCGTATTTGTTGAAGCTGATGTGTGACTGTCGGCTTGAATTGCCTTGTCAGGACAAGCCTTCAGAAAGGTGATGTTCCCACTCAAGAGGTTTTCCTCATTAAAGAAATTGCATCTTAACAAGAGGGAAGGGGAGAGGTGGAAGGAGAACAGCCGTCTCTCCCTCTCCAGCCTGGCTCGTGCTCATCAGCAGCCGATCCAAACACAAAGACAGGACCAGCGTCTCCTTTCCAGCCCCCCTTCCAGCGTGGCGCTCCGTCCCTGCTAGAGCACTGAGCCACCTCGGCAAAGCACAGCGCTGCTCCCCTTTTGCGCGCGCTGACTCCGCGGCCCGTCAGAGCTCTGCAGAGTGGCGGTGGGGCCCTCCCCGCCTCTGGGTGCTTGCGATCCCCGTCCGTGGCTGGCGAAGGCGGAGGGAACAGAAAACGCCCAGATCGGGGGCCCGTCAAGCGAGCTCCAGCTCCCAAGAGAAACGAGGGCTGGGAGCCAAGTGATCCCGTGTCACCGGAGAGGCTGCAAGCCAATCACAGAGGTCCAAGCCCCAAGCAGCAGGGCTTCCCACATTCACACGGTGCTGCCTGCTCCGCAGGGACTCCTGCGCCGCTCCACACCTCTCCTCTGGGCTGGGCAGGCAGCCCCAGCCCGCTGCT